TGCAGAAATGTGTATTAAGACATTAAATAGGGTAAGTTTGATTCCCACCTGACCAAATTAATCACTCTCTTCATACTTTATTATTCACCTTATCTGTTCATCTCACTCCTTCCCTCCTATTTGGCTTGCTGGCGCCTCGGCATCTCCATCCCTCATAGTCACCAAAATCACTCCCACTTTTGTCTCCCTGCACTCTTGTCTCTCTCTACACATCTCTCTGATGCTGTTAACAGGAATCAAAGCTTTTCTGCAGTCTGAGGACTGAGGCAGGTACTTGAGTCCCACAGGTGCTTTTTCCCAGCTAACCAATCCCGTCCTCAGGCATAGCTGTCATTCTTTACATAACTCAACCCTGGCACCTGCCCTCTAGCTTGGAACAGAGGGAGGGAGACTGAGACCAACAGCATGAGGGAGGGAGGGAGGTTAGTAGTGGGAGCTGGTTTTGTTTGTGAGTGAGTGCTGTCTTAGCTGGGGGCTAAAATAGTAGAAGTACACCAAGAGGGGGAACAAAAGCAGCTTTTACAGAAAGTACAGAGAAAGAAACTCTCCGTACACACACACTGCACTCGAAACCTTCTCTGTATTCTGTTCCACTCTCTCTTTTACTCACCTCAGCTTGAGAATGAGATACAGGAATCATATTATCATAGGAGCACATCCACTGTATCATCTCTGCATATGTGTTTGTGCGAGACTATGGATTATAGTTTCACAAAGTAGCCCTTCACTGTCTTATCATCCTCACGGACAGAGAAAACTAATGAGGAACAGGATACAATGAAACACACACGCATAGATACAGATGCAGGGATCTAATAAGCTCAGAGATGCTCTTCTGGTATTATTCACCTCCTCTCTTATTGAACAGGGAGGACAATAGAGCAGTGTGTGTGTGTATCTATCCACACACTCCCACTGGAGACTTTGCACGCTTCTGTTTATCAGCACAAGGGGATGGCCGGCCTCGTAGCAGATACGGCGAGTGGTCTAAAATGAATCCCTCAGCAAAAACCATTCGCCTTTCTGAATAGAAGTGTTGTGCTTTACACAAACGTGCACTGTGCGGCTTATCTTTATTTTATCTGGAGCAGAGGAGATGAGCCATGTGTTAAAAAGACAGGCCAAAGTGTTACATGCTGCAACCGAGGGTTTTGAAGCCTCTCTTGAGCCTTTGCGTGCATCAAGATGGTGGAAAGCTCCACTAATGCCCAACTACCGTTACATCAGATGCACTTAAGGGTTGGCTAATTATCTCCAGCTCTTCCTTTTCCATTCATTAAATTTAGCAACTGCAACACAGATGCAATAAAGGTGATGTGTCCTCATTAATGGACTTTACGGGAGAAAATGTCTTGTTTGTGTGGTGGAAATTTCCGTTCACCCATACTGACATCATGTGTGATATGTTGCAACATAGACATTTAGTTGAAAATCAATGTTAGTTGAATTGCTTTTCAAGCAACAAATCACCAAAATCCAGCTACACTATGTGTATATAACTTTTTTATTTTTTACTCTTTTACTTCATTACTAATATGATCATTATTTATATGCTGTATAATTTTATAAGAAAATAAATGAATAAGAAATTAATACTGTTATTCAGCAAAGACACAGTAAATAGATTCAATGTGACAAAAATACTTAGTTGTTGTTGTTGTTGTTTTGAAATGCTTTCCATTTATCGAAAAAATCCTGAAAAAAGTATCATGGTTTTCATAAAAATAATGAGCAGCACAACTGTTTTCAACATTGAAAATAATTAGAAATCATAGAATCACGTGACACTGAAGACTAATAAGGAGCTTTGCAATTCCAGATTGCATTTTACAGTACATTAAAATAGAAAACTGTTTTTTATTGCAATAATATTTCACAGTATTACTGTTTTTACTGTATTTTTGCATGAGATACTTTTCAAAAATATGAAAAAGCTTTTTTATTTATTTATTTTTTACTTAATTTCATGTGAAGTCACAGGTGTGCATAAAAAAGTGTCTGATTTTCAGATTATCAGTCAGCTGTGTTTTAAAAGAGCCATTATATTTGTATTGAGGTAAGATGCTGAACTGTGTATGTGACGAGAGGGGCGGGGCCGAGATAAAAGGAGGAGTGATGACAGTGTTGGACGAGAGAGGACCAGGCCTGGAGTTTATTTTGTGTTTTGTGTGCGGCAGTCGTCCGCGAGGGGCTGCCGCTTTACTTTCATTTTGTGTTTGTTTATTTTATTAAAGTATTTAAATGTAAAAAAAAATAAAAAAAAAATCTTGTTCCCGGTTCCCAGGGAAAAAGGAGGCAGGAACCGGCGAACACTTAAACCCAACTTTAATAATAAAATAAACAAACACAAAATGAAAGTAAAGCGGCAGCCCCTCGCGGACAGCTGCCGCACACAAAACACAAAATAAAGTCCAGGCCTGGTCCTCTCTCGTCCAACACGGTCGTCACTCCTCCCTTTTATCCTTCCGGAGCTCCTCCGTGAGACTCGAGACCGGTGAGTGGTGCAGGTGTCGCTCATTATCAATTACTCCACCAGCCTCGCTCCGTTCCCACGGCTCTCGGCCCCGCCCCCACTCGTCACAGTGTACAATTACAAATTCATAGAATTAACGACACTTACGAAAATTGCAATTACAGAAAAGCAGACGTCATCATGCAATTGTCATTTCTTTCAGCAAACATAAAGCATCACCTTCACAGCAGTACAGACATTATCCATCCTCTGCACAACATTTGTTGATCTGACAACAAAGAGTTAAGCAATGGAGGCACTTATAGTCTGGACGGCAAGGTCATCTCACCCGTCTTGGGAAATACTTTGTGTTCTCCAGAAGACCTTCATTGTCACCTGCAGACAGTGTGAGATTAAGAGCAGTGCAGTCAGTTATTTATCTGTGTTACTTTGGAAGTTTCTCCTCACACTCAGAAACAATTTATGTGCAACGCAAGCAGCGTTGGGTGTTCAGAGAGGAGTGTTGCACAAGAACATGTTTACCTTGTAAAAATAAACAAAACAAACAAATCGCAGCTAAGCTCTCAAACCGAGTGTGTGGAGATGAAGAGGAGGCTGAGAAGTGGAAAGGGAGGCAGAAATTAAGTGGTTGTGTTTCCCTGTGGCAACTCCACAGCATGGCGCGAGGAAGGAGAGAGAAAGAGAGAGAGATTGAAAGTCAGAAAATAAAAAAAAATGTGGTTGAGGAACATTTCTGTATTATTGATAACAGTGAGTGGATGAGTGGAGTTCTTCTACTTGTTTTTACTTTCCCACTCCCTCTTTCTGTCTCTCTCTTTCTCTCTGAAGGTTTGTGGTTTGTGATTGGTATGTGGAGGGTGGATGTGGATCGGAGAGCTGGGTGGCTGACAGTGGTCTCCGTCTAGCTCCAAATGCCAATTTGCGAGCTGTCTCATTCCATCTTGACGAAATGTCCTATTCTCTCGTCGGTGCTGCTGGAGGGAGGGTGGGGTGTGAAGTGGGCTTCTCCTGTGGGAGAGCTGTGGCTTCTATCATCCTTATCAAGCCTGGCTTCTGCAGTCACACTGGATTTAGCTAACACTTGCTTAATACACTCCTCACTGAGCCTTAGGTGTGTGTGAGAGTGTGTGTTTAGGTCTCTGTGTGTATTACTCTGGCATGTACAGCCAGCGTGTGCCAAGGGATTTGCTCTTGTGAGACGATGCATACATAGTTAGACGGAAGGGAAATAATGTATTTGCAATTGCTAACCGCTGTGAATCTTCGCAAAGACCCGTGTTATGATTACTGCGTAGATCAACTTTGCTTTTGTGATTAGTGGATGTTGCTTTGGATGGAAAGCAGCATCTGCCTGCTGAGTGCTAATTAATTTGAAATATTTAAGTTAGGGATACATTACATATACTGTATTATCTTTTAAAAGTTTATGGTTAGTAATAATGTTTTTGAAAGTATTATCTTATTCGCACCAAGTCTGTATTTCCTTTAATTATGTTGAAAATAGTTTAATATCTTTGTGGAAACCTTGATACTTTTTTTCTTCTTAAATGAATAAAAAGTTGAAAAGAACAGCATTTATTTGAAATATAATTTTTTTTTGTAACAATGTAAAAGTCTTTACTGTCACTTTTGATCAATTTGATATGACTTGGTCGTATAAAAGTATTAATTTAATTTAAAAAGTAGTTTTTATCAACAACGTTTTTGTCAGTATGGGTACATTTAATACTGGATATTTAACTATTCATTTTACATTTAAGTTGCAGTACCTTTGCCATCATCTAATAATTTAATAACACTTCTAAATGTAATCTTTAGCAAATCTCAAAATTTATATATTTTTTCTTACTGTATATAACAATGTTGTGATGCCTAAATTCACTTGTAGCATAAAAATGACTGAATTTCATTTTTATCATTTTATAATTTTTTTGTTTATTTACAGCGAAACTATATAATTCTAATTTAATTTGAAAAATATCTTAATTCAAACATATATACATTAATAATCAGCTGATCGATTTTGGACAGAATTGTTCTTTCTTTCTTTCTTTCTTTCTTTCTTTCTTTGGACAGGGGAATATGTGTGTATTTTTAGAATGCCACTAGATGGTTACTAGGGTGTTCTGGAATATTGATTGAAAGTTGCTTACTGCCCAAAGTTTAAAGAACTCACTGCCAAGTCTCTATGGTATTTTGGTCCCTCAATATAACTTGGGCTCCTCCTTAGGTTTTTATTATCAATAAAGCCTGATAGCTTAGAAAGTAATAGCATACCTTGTTTCAGTAATACGCAAAATTTATCATTCATGCCTGTGGCACAAATGGTGCAGAATAAGTTTAATACCTAAGGTAAGCTATATACTGTATATGAGGTAAAACTATTTTGTGAAATTTTGCAGAATTTTGTGTTCATTATACATAGTTGTTCCCTTGAATTAGAATGAAAATCATCCACAAGATGCCTGCTAATATCATCAACACGCATACTGAACTTTGACCTCTCTCTGTCTCTGTCCAATCACAGCTCCCACATCGCCGAGTGACCTTCTCCACAGCCAATCAGGCGCAAGATCTGCAGGATCCCTCTCAGCACAGTTACTACGACAGCGGTCTGGAAGAGTCAGAGACACCCAGCAGTAAGAGTTCTTCAGGGCCCCGTATCGGGCCCCTTGCCCTACCTGAAGACCACTATGAACGCACTACCCCAGACGGCAGCATCGGAGAGATGGAACACCCCGAGAACGGTAAGAAGAGGTGGTGTGTCCCCCTCCTTTTTTATTATTACTCCATCTACTCTCTTTCAGAAAAATCTTTTTAGACCTTCTATATATTGAAGACTTTTTTTTAAAGAAATGGCTGGTAATGAGCTGCACTGAGCAGTTTACTTGTACACCCTTCATCACACACTCGCTTTGCTTTAAAACAAAAAGTACTAAAATAAGGTCAATCTGAATTCATGAGCATTGCAAAAGTTTTTATGTGACATAAATGTCAGAATTTAAGCAAATTAACCACTGATTTGAATATGTTGTCTATTAACTTCGTGAGCTTTGTCAACATGCACCTACATATACAAAAAAACATAAATTCTTGGCAAGATATTGAAATTACCTAGTCATATTAGCACACGCACACCAAGAAGACCTGATATAATCCTCCTCCGCTGTAGCTGTAGGGAGCATAAAGTGAGGGAGGCCGCCTCTCCTTCCCGCCCAGCTGGAGGTGCTCCCGAACAGGCCAAAAATCCTCAGCAACAGAACTCTGAGAGGGTGGAAGTCGTAGCCAAAAGGCAGGCTGGCAGTGAAAGCATTTAGAATTTCAATTACTGTGGAATTAATTAGTGCTGTGTATGTGTGTACACATACAATATAATATTCTGCTTTAAATTAAAGTTGAGCTCAGTTAACAGCACTTGTGGCATAACGTTATTTACCAGAACATTTTTGACTTGTCTTTCCTTGAAAAAAAAGACAATAAATTGGGTTACATTATGAGGGTAAGTATGATTTTAGTGTTAAAAAAAAAAAAACGTACAAACCAGGCTGCATTAAATGATTCAAAATTGACAGTAAAGTCTTATACATTGTTTAAAAAAAGATTTATATTTCTAATAAATGTTGTTCTTTTAAACTGTCCATTCATCAAAAATGTGTAATGGTTTACATAAAAATATTAAGCAGCACAACTGTTTTCATTCATAATATAATACATGTTTTTTGAACACCAAATCATATCAGAATGATTTCAGAAGGATCATGTGACACTGAAGACTGGAGTAATAATGCTGAAAATTCAGCTTTGCCATCACAGGAATACACTACATTTTAAAATATATTATATTCTGCATATTTTATTAGTAATAATTCTAAATATTACTATTTTATTGTATTTTAATCAAATAAATGCAGCCTTAGTGAGCATATCAAAAGCATTAAAAATACCAACCACAAACTTTTGAAAGAATGTATATCCAATTTTACAACTTTGTTGCCTTCGTTGCGTTGACACACAAAGCATAAAACCCTCAAATGCCCTTTAAAATGAAAAAGACCAACTTTGCAGCACAAATAATAAAAAAAATAATAATACATTTAATATTGTGGTTACACTTTATTTTAAGGTGTCCTTATTACAGTGTAATTATACATTTAAGTACTGAGTAATATTAATTAACTACATGTACTTACTATATGGTTAGGGTTAGGATAAGGGTTGCTTGCATGTAATTATGCATAATGTATTGTTATTATAATAGTAAGTACATGTAACGTCTCGGGTTACATATGTAACCCTCCTTCCCTGAAGGAGGGAACTGAGATGTCACGTCGGTGACCGACGAATTGGGATCTCGCTTAGAGAGACCAATCCACTTCGAGTGTAAACTAAACGAGCCAATGCACATTGGCATGCGATGATTGCATCCAGCTGCCGCTGATCACAGCGTGAGCATAAAAAGGCAGCCGGTGCAACGCATACCAGGTTTTCGCTGAGGAGCCGAGCCGGTGACCCGGCCGCTCAGCGGTGTTACAGCAGCCGTGGCGACGGGACTTGACGTCTCCATTCCCTCCTTCAGGGAACGAGGGTTACATACGTAAACGAGACGTTTCCTTTCAGTCGGTCACTCCGAGTCACGTCGGTGACCGACGAATTGGGATCCCTACCAAAGTGCCATGGATGCTGCCCCTTCCAGTGTCCTGTGCGAGCCGCCTGCGCCCCGTTGTGGTGTAGGCCGGGGCTTGCAACAAGAAGACCAGTCACTGTTGTCACTCCGAGTCACGTCGGTGACCGATGAATTGGGATCCCTACCAAAGCGCCATGGATGCTACCCCTTCCAGTGTCCTGTGCGAGCCGCCTGCGCCCCGTTGTGGTGTAGGCCGGGGCTTGCAACAAGAAGACCAGTCACTGTTGTCATAGCACTACCCACTCAGTGAGATTGGATAACACTGGGAAAACGTCCCCTTTCCACTTGGAACAGGAACATTGCGGAAGCCCCATCCTTCCTGAAGGAGGTTTTGGAAGCACTTACACATATGACATCCATTTAGGTGCATATGGAAGATTAGAGGTGATTGTAACCCTCATGGAAATGGCAGAAGTATGCCGGGGAAACAGAGGCTCTGAGGCTATACCGTGGACGTTACACATATGGGAACCACTTAGGCCTCTACATATGGAACCCAGCCCTCTACCTGTTCTCACGGATTCAGCGAGTGAGGGCCTGGCATCGGACGTTCCGCCACGTCTGGCTGCCGAGGGGATGGAGGAGCTCGACAGGGCCTACAGTACGGACGCTCTGGAGCAGTTTTAGCAAGCCGACACTAAACCGGGGCCTCTCAGCGCCTCTACCCGTTTGAGGTGAGAACACAGGAGGATACCGGTTCAACACAAAGGCTATAGAACCTAGTGAACATGTTGGGGGTCGCCCGGCCTGCAGCTCTACAAATGTCTGTCAGCGAGGCGCCACGGGCCAGCGCCCAGGAGGCAAACAGGTCTACCTGAGCAACTCCGAAACGTCTCCAAATCAGCTAGACCGCCTGGGGATGTAGTCTCACGAAGGCTATATAATCTAGCGAACGTGTTGGGGGTCACCCAGCACGCAGCTCTACAAATATCTGTCAGCGCGGCGCCACGAGCCAGCGCCCAGGAGGATGCAACACTCCTAGTAGAGTGAGCTCACAACCTGAGCGGGCAGGGCACACCCTGTGCCTGATAAGCCAGGGTGATGGCATCCACAATCCAGTGGGCCATCCTCTGCTTAGAGACAGCCTTCCCTTTCTGCCGGACTCCGTTGCAGACAAAGAGCTGGTCTGAGGTCCTAAAGCTTTGTGTCCAGTCTACGTAGCATCTCAAGGCTTGGACGGGACAGAGCAAAGCTAGGGCTGGGTCTGCCTCCTCCGGGGGCAGTGCTTGCAGGCTCACCATCTGATCCCTGAAGGGAGTAGTGGGAACCTTATGGAGAGGCAAACAGGTCTACCTGAGCGGCTCCGAAACGTCTCCAAAATAGCTGGACTGTCTGGGGATGGAGTCTCAATTCTCCCGGGAGCATAGCTTGTGACAGCTCGTCGGCCATACGGTTGAGCAGACCTGGAATGTGAATGGCACGAAGTGACCTCAGCAGGTGAAGGTTTGGCAACAGGCCGGTGTAACTTGGACCCGGTGAGTGCTGCACTGCCACGCCCACCTCGGGACTCGGCCATGAAGCCAGTGCTGGAGCGGTCTCATATGAAGCAGCCCCAGTGGCGTAACTGCCGCTGCAGCTGCCATATGCCCCAGGAGCCTCTGAAATAGTTTCAGTGGGACCGCTGT